GGGTTTTTTTTTTTTTTTTTTTTTTTTTGACCTGGGCATTCTTATTACAAAAGAAATCCATGCTTGTTACAAGAAATCAGAAAATAGCTAAAATCAATGAAAAAAAAAGAACTCATAACCCTACTTCTCTGGAGGCAACAGTTAATAACAAACATAGACTCTATAATGCATAAATTTTGTATGTGTTTTTAACATAAAACAGGGTTATAATGAACCCACAAAATAGAGTTATATAACCTGCAGTTTTCACTTAATAATATCACAAAAAGACTTCTGCTGCTTCTGGGGAGAAGTCAAGGCCACAGTCATGAACTGCTTCAAGTTCTTGGGTAAGAGGAGCCTGGTCCTTGAGCCTTTCTGACTGGTCTCAGGTGTCTCTCACCATGGCCAGAGGGTCCAGGACTTGCACTCTTTGGCTTTTTGAAGGTTGAAAGGTCTACTCAAGGAAGAGGGCACTGGGAGGCTTCTAGGTGCTGGTAGTGAATATTCTGGTTCTTGATCTAAAAAAAAATACTAATTCACAAAAAGATGGGCAAACCTATAGGTTCACACAATACCTCATTTACTGCCTTCTCATACAATGCTGGTTCAGCCTAATGCTGTTCAATACATATATTTCTGTCCTAAAACTTTTGAAGTAATACATGACAGTATCGACCAGTACAGTCAGTGTCCACTTTTCTCAGGCTGCAGGTGTGTACAAGGAGCACTGTGGTAAGGTGTTAGCCGATGAGAGCCAGTTCAACGGGCATCCTAAAGCAGACCATTGTCATTGCCCTTGGACCGACTATTTCAGTGTGCCCCAGACAACTTCTAAAGGCTCATATCTGCACCTCTGTACCTGAGGACTCTCTAGTCCCATGGAAAACTGCTCTGTGCCTGCATGCAGCAGGCCAGAAGTGAAGGGAATCAGCACTTCCTAGAAGCAGCTCTCAGCAAGTGAGAGACAGAAGTTGGCCTATAAATATACTAGCTCTCCTGCTCCTCCGGTGGGATAATTGAGGTGTGTGTTTCACACTGTTTTTTGAGAGATTTCCCATAGGAATTAAGTTTCAGGAATTAGTTCATCTCCCTAATGAACTACTTGCACTCAACTCCTTGTCTCAGGGTTGCTTCTGAAGGACTTGAAATTGAGACACATTCCATTCCATATACTCTGGGCCATAAGGCCCTGGTGGGCCTTTAAACCCTCTCCTGCTGAGGGTGGACTCAATGGGGTGTTTGTGCACCCAACTGGGGTCTCTCTTCCTGCTCTGTGCTCCTGTTGTAACATATGATGAACGTTCTCCAGTTCTCCAAGGGATAAGGCCGCATGCCACAAAATAGATTGTGAATAGTTTGCAACTAAATGTTGCAACTAAGTGTTTGTAACTAAGAGTTAACAGACATGGGACTGCTGGAGACAGACCCAGAACACTTAAGGAGATAGTGAATAAATAGAAGCTCAAGAGCATCAGTCCAGCAAGGACTGATGGACACCTCAGAAGAAATGATCCAGAATCATGTTAATGGTAGTTGGAAGAAACTTTAGCCAAAGGCATTTTGTGACTTGAAGAGATCTGAAGAGACCAAAACAGTGGTTGCCAGTGTCCTGTGTCATAAACACATTTCCTTGATGACCACGCCAGAACAACCTCACATGATGCCCATTTCCAGAATCACAGCTCACAAGCCTGAATGTCCATAATTTTATGTTAATTTTTAAAAGTATCCCTCAACATTTTTCTTGAAGCAAATCACCTATTAAGTCAAGCACATCAACTTTGTTCTGACATAAGTCTTGCGAAAGCTCAGCACTGTGAGTCCCTTTGTGCTCTGGAGCCCAGCCTCCTTGTCCAAGGTAAGGTTGCAGTAGCCGGTCGTGGGGTCGAGGAGCTGCAGGGAATGTAGGTGGAAGCCACTCCTCCTTTGCAGGAACACTAGCCCAGGGAAAGTCTGAGCTCAGAAGAAGTGATCCCCTGTATATATGATTAATTTATTTTACTTTAGTTCTATTCTAAACCTT